TATAGATGCCTTCTTGAAGACAAAAGGAGCTAAATGAACATATACAAAAAACATGCTATTTTAAACACTTATCTTTCTGAAAATTAATAATAGTACAACTACCTTATAAATGCAATCTCATCCTCATTTTATAGAGTAGGGAACTGTGCCTCACAGAAGTTAAGGAAATTGCCTGGATTCACAGGGCCAGTAAGTGTCCAAACCAGAATTCAAATCCAGATTCTTTTTGGATCTCAAAGTTGGTCTTTTTTTGCCACAATTTACAGCTTCACAGACTTTAGAGTAAGTCTCTCAGCATCTCTGAGCTTTAGTTTCCTCATCACTTCATTAAAGCAAGATTGGGTTCAGTTATTTTTGAGGTTCCTTCCATGTTAGTTCTAGGAAAAGAGAAGAAGAGGGAAGACAAAGGGGCTGGGAGAATGGGGGAGAGGTAGCAGAATAGTAGGAGAGGTTTTGTGGGTTTCTTATCTCACTATTTGTGGTTCTACTAATGTATATTTATTGAAATTATTTACTGTACTAATTAAATCTCCCTTTGGGCATCTAGCCTCATTATGTCCTACAGATAAATATAAATTTTGTTGGTGTTTAAGAGCAATGTAAGCAACTGCAGTGGGAACAAGCCTATTTTTTATTTTTTTTTTTAATCTTTATTGTTGAAAGTATTACAGATGTCCTCTTCGCCCCAACATTGTCTCCCTCCATCCTGCTCCCACCCCCTTTCCAAGCCTTCCCCACACTGTGGTCTGCCCATGAGCTATGTATATACGCATATAAGTTATTTGGTTAATCCTTTCCCACCTCCTTTCCCTCTGAAATATGCCAGTCTGTTGCATGCTTCAGTGTCTCTGGATATATTTGTGAACAAGCCTATTTTAAGGGAGGTATACCTCAAAATAATTTATGTGGTCTTCAATTCGGATATTTCAAACCTAAAATGGCACAACCTCATTATTCTTCACACTGAGTTTCAACATACTATGGATTTTGAAGTATTATACATAGGAAGTAAAAAGATACCCCCAAAACCAAAACCAAATGAAAATAGAAAACAACCCCTTGGAAAGACTCCAACTGGCTGCTCTCTGACAGTCACAGGCAGGTTGTTAGCCAGCTTCACGCAGGATTATAAGGAATGAAAAATTTTCTGAGTAAAAGGCTCAGAAACCAGATCAGAGTCAGAATAATGAACAAGCTTTTCAAAAGGCAACTGCCCAGCCCTAACCAGTTTGGCTCAGTGGATAGAGCGTCGGCCTGCAGACTAAAGGATCCCAGGTTTGATTCCGATCAAGGGCATGTACCTTGGTTGCAGGCACATACCCAGTAGGGGGTGTGCAGGAGGCAGCTGATCGATGTTTCCCTTGCATTGATGTTTCTAACTCTCTATCCCTCTCCTTTCCTTTCTGTAAAAAAATCAATAAAATATATATATTTTTAAAAAGGCAACTGCCCAAACCCAACAATACTTTTTCACTTGTTTACAAAGTGTGGAAAGAAATATGGGCCTCCCATTGGTCTTTCCTCCAATCACACACCTCACATCATATCACATCACATCACATTATCATCACCACCATCATTAGTATAAATTCTAAATATCGAAAAGGCTGTAAATAAAATTCATTCTGAGAAAGAATAACAACAAATAGAATTCACTTTAAATGTAAAGAAGCAACAAAATTTATTGACTGAATTAAACACAGCAGTTAAAATGGCAGTGTAGTATTTTCATTTTAGGACGTTTGAATGAGACAAGAAAAGTGCTATTAGTCCAAGCTTCTTACATTCATTAGAAGAGTGACTATCAAAAACAGAAACATGCACAATGATACATATGCACAAAATGGAATTATATCAACAAATATACAAAATACGCAAAATAAAATATTTACAAGTTTAAAAATATAAACATTGGTTCATTTATCCCATTAAATCATTGGAATGGAGAAAGGAGAAAAGACGCTACTGCTATTTAGAATCTTTTCTTAAAACAAGTTTTAAAAACAAAGTAATTCTAGGAGACAATGTTGGATGTTGGGGGGAATTTAACATTCTATTATAAAAATAATATCTATAAACCTACTAACAATTTTTTCTCCTGTGCACAAAAATAATATAGCCAAAAGCTTGTCTTCAAAGACATGCCTGACTTTTGGGAAAACTAATTATAGAATGGAGTTTCTCATTTGGGTTTTCTTTGTCATTATTTTCAAATAACCTGCAATTCCCCATATTACACTGAGCTATTTCACATAAACAAGTTGGACAAAACCTGAAGTTAGCAATGAGCCTGGTAGATAGCTGGAGTCAAGTAAAAATGACAGGAATTTACCTTGCCTATAACATTAAAACCATTTCCCTGATATTCTTTATAAAACTACTACTATCAATCAGATCATCTATGTTCAGTTAAATTTACCCTGGGAGCAATAAAACCTTAAGTTATTAGGTTGTTAACTTTCTCCTCCTTTATTTAGAAATAACTGTGTAGTTGGGGGAGGAGGGTGGTAATTCCTATAAGCTCTCTAGGGCCATTTCATGACATGTTAACGAGTATTTACTGTGTGTCTATGCCCATCTGCAATTTGACCAGATATTTTCAGTATATGTTTGAGTTTATTAAATGATCCATGTGTGTATCTGAGCAAGTTAAATGTCTCTAATAACAAGTAACCTGAGTTCTATTTTGTTTAAAAAAATGTTATCTTCTCCCATGAATCAGAAACTCTACCAAATTATTAAATAATTTCCAAAAATTACCCCAGTTCACTACACAATAGAATAACCAACCACCTGTTACTGAAATCTTCCACTGCATCTCATTAAAATGAGGTCTATTTTTTTTTTTACCAAGTGTAGGTAGCCCTTATATTAGTAAAATATCCTCATTGATTATCACTGTGATGCAATTTCAAACAAACTTTCCCTAAATACTGAGAGTGGCATCTTAATAGAATCAGAGCAGAAGAAAACTCAGGTTGCAACCTGCCAGGTTCACTATTGAAATTATTTTTTGCTTTATTATTGACAAAGCAATTATATCATAACAGCTGTATGTAGATCTGCTAGTATGTAACTCTAATTGGTGAATATAATCCAAAAGTAGGCTAGCCCAGGTGAGAAAAAACCTGATGGCTGCATGTATACAGCCATCAAGTAATTTTTTTTAAATAACAAGTTCACTTTTAGCTAAAACAGTCATTTTAATGGTATCAACAATCATAAATATCTGGCTTGGCTCTTGCAGTTCAGAACTTTGCTCAATTTCTTAAGTTATACAAAATCATGTGAATAAAAAAAGATTTATAATTAAAGCATGAGCTATAGAGTTAGATTTCTGGCTCAGATCCTGCCCACTACCTATTACGTGGGTGACGTGAACAAGATATTTCACCTTTGTGAGCATGGTTTTCTTCCTCTGTAGAATGGAGCCAATACTCACTTGCCTGTTTCTTGTGAGCACTGGAGATCACAATGGGAAGAAAAGCACAGAGCACCATCCTAGCACAGTATGTTAGTTATTTTAATATAAAATGTTCAAGTTCACAGTGGTGGAAAATAAATACGCAATATTTATTAATTGAATGAATGAATCAGAAAATATAGGCTAGTATTCAATGGCTGTAGACAGAAGGTAGGATGCACTACTTTTGAAAAAGCCAGTTTATCTCTGAAGTTCAGAATTGTATCAAGGGATTATCCAGCTAGTTATTATCTAAACAGAGAACATTCAGAACAAATGAAACATGCTTGAAATGACTGACATCCTGTCAGGGAAGAAGTGTCACCATGACAACAGAAAAGATTTCTGTCCATACTTCTGTCTAGAAGGAGAGGATATCTCCAAAGGAAGACATACTGCACCACGGGGTAGGTTTCCTTATCAGTGACCTGAGCACCATCATTTCAGACACAAAACCAATTTCTAGCCTCTTGGCATGGGTTAGCTTTTTTTCTATTGAAAGTAAGTTGGTAATGACACTAAGCAGTTCTCAGCTCTGGTATTATCATAAATCACTAAAGAATTTAGATCCCTGTCCCAGAAACTAGAAGAAATTGGGGGAGGGGAGATGGAATGGGATAGAAACAAACAAAAAGGATGAATTAAAGATCTCATATAAGGGAGATAATATTACCTAACCTACATGGCTCTTAAGAGGCCCAAATAATGACTTTTAAAGCTCCTAGCAGTCACTGGCACTCAGTAAGTACTCAACAACTGTTAATCATTGTTGTAACTACTATGTGGCTTAATACATACCACCCTTGTTCAACCGCACCCCATTCTGCTCCACCCCACCAACTACAGGAAACAAATACAAAAAAAGAAAATAAAAAAAAAATGTTAAATCAAAATAAAGGCATTTTTAATGGATATGTCCAATTACAGTATAGCTACATGTGAATTCCAATGGATTTTTATTAAGTATTTGCTGCAGTATATGCCCATGAATATGTGTTGCATTGAATTAAAGTAAATATCCATCATAAAATATGCCCAGTTTCAGGCTTTGTGACTATTTTAATCTTTCCTTTTTCAGTTTGAGAAGAAACTCCCTTCCATAATCATCAAACTACCATTCTGAGTCACTCCTTAAAAACATTATCTGCAATGAGATAATAATATTCCATTTACATGGTTATCGTTGCAACAAACTGTCTCCTTTAAACCATTATCACAGTGAAAAGACTTTGAGAAGCAATCCATGGCAGCCGTCAGAAAATCTTCAGAGCAGGAAGGGGTAGCAGAATCAATGACTGCCCTGGGGAGGAACCACATTTGCATATCACCTGACAATGTTACATTGCTTTTTTTTATGAAGGAAAATGTTTGCTTCTTATTGCCCACACTGGCTATATTAAAATACCAGACTCACCCTAGCTGGTTTGACTCAGTGGCTAGAGCATTGGCCTGTGGACTGAAGGGTCCCTATTTCATTCCCATCAAGGGCACATGCCTGGGATGCGGGCTCCACCCCCAGTAGGAGGTGTGCAGGAGGCAGCCAGCCAGTCAATGATTCTCTCTTATCATAGATGTTTCTATCTCTCTCTCCTTCTCCCTTCCTCTCTGAAATCAATATATATATTTTAAATGATAGTCTGCCATACTAGCCTTTTGGTTTCAAACTATTTCATAAATTTTTTCATGTAACGAATTGAAAATCCCTAAATAAGAACTGTTATTCACACGTTGGTCTGCCTGGAGAAGGGGAAGGGAAACAGGATTAGACTGAAGTATTTGGGTGCCTCCTCTCATTTCATCCAGGAACTTTGAATTGGCCATCCTCAGTCGTGATAGGAGGTAACTGTGATGTTTTTTCTTCCTTATTTTTAAGAGTATAACAATTCCTAAATTAACTTCATGACAATAAGGGTAGCAAAGTATATGTGAATGTACTAGAACATGTCTCAGTAGCAGTCAAGCACAGGGGCCAAGTCCAGATAATCATCATCAGGAGAGAAATCTAGAATAACTAAACCCAGGAAATGAGTTCCACAACGCAAATGTCAAAAGGCGCTAAATCATGAGAAAGATCCCATTATTGTTATCTGAGGGCAGGAAGCAAACATGATGGAAACAAAGGGAGAAGACAGAAAGTTCCATTACTCAAACTCTCCCTACAAAGTTAAAGATAAAGAGTCTCTGAAAATTAATCTAAGATATCAATAATGAAAACTCTTAGAAAGTTCAAAGAAATCTTGATATCTAATATATCCTTTTACCTTGATAACTATGTGGGGAAAGGGCTATTTGAAATTTCATTTAAATGCAAATACTTGAAAACTAGTTCTGCAATTAATTAGTAAACCCTTTAAACTTAATAAGTCGTCACCTTTGTAGATGTTAAACACTTTGTATTTAAGTAGGCAGATAATTTGTGGAAAAGGTATCCAAAAAAAATCCTTAATGTCCTATATTCCATTGTTGTTATTAGATGAAATAATAAAGATCTACTTTCTCTTGTAATTATTCAAAATGCTGCAGTAAAATTTCTCCTTATTGGTGCTAATGGGAGAATAAAAGCATCAACCACCGATAGCACCAAGCACAGTGGTTCAAGTACTGTCTGTGTAATGTAGATACCAAAATCAGGCCGTCTTTGTGCAGAGCTGTTACACTGACCAATAAATTCAGAGCCAACAATTGATTTGACTTTTTGTTTTTAATTTGGCTAGCTCTTTCACCACAGGGACTTAGTCAACCAAGCATCTCAGAATCATACTCGGGAAAGGTGTCATCAGCCCATATCCAATCCTTTCCTTTAAAAAAAAAATCAGGAAATATGGCCAAATTAGATAATGCATTAATAATCATTGAAATGGAAATCTGTTAAAATTCTTTTTAAAAGTCCACTCTCCATGAACATGAATGGATAAAAATAGCCCTTGGCACCAAACAAACAAAAACACAAACAAACAGCTCTGACCCCTTGTCTACGGTTGGAAAAGGTTAAGAACACCCTCTTCCTACACTGGTCCTGATTTCCCATCAAGTGACTGAAGGCATTTAATTCATTGCCTGAATCCTTCATTTGACTGGTGTATGTGGAATTCTTAAAGATATAGAGAAAAAAATGGAAAAAAGAGTAGAAAACATGTTTTCAATCATGTATAAATGGTTAATGGACAGGTCAGAGGAAATACACTTTGCTGCCATTTTCCTTTACTTATATATAAAAAAAAAACCACACAAAATAGCAGTGTAAATACAGAAATAAGCCCCAAATCTGTGAAAGTAAAAATAGTTTGTCCCAGTGCTTACAAAATAAATAGATTGCCTTTACTATTACAGTATTCTCATTAATACTTCAGGTACTCCCAACTTTCCTGTACAACTGAACAAATGAACAATCATAACTTTGCCATGTATTCTCACTGAGGAAATACAATCCTTGCAAGAAAATACACAAAAAGAAAATAAAGATGCTTCATTTTACAGTTAGGAATAAAATTTATGTTCTTTCCATTCACTAGTGGAAAATGAATGTTTTTTGAGCCTAAATAGTACTATCAGCATTAAGTCAAATTTAAATTCATTTCTCAAGACAGAAAACATTTCAAATACTTCAACTTCCAATTTTACAGTAGATGCCTTTGTTAGTTTGTGCACAGTTGAGTGCATTAGCACGTGTGAGTGTGAGTTGCTTTATGAATTCCTAATGATGTATTCAGAGTTCTTAAAGCCATGCCTGAGTATAGGACCTCATCTATAGACACAAGAAAATGAAACATTACTTTGAAATAACACTAAGAATCTGACACAATGCAATAAAAGCCAGTAATCTAACAAAAAAATTGGCAAATCTCTACCACCTCTTCTAACCGAATCGCTGCAGATTTAAAATGGAGATTTTAAAACTGCCTCAAATTTGTTTTCCTTTGATGACTATTTTGTTACTTCATTCATATTATTCAAATAGGCTTTCGTATACTTGTCTTATTCTTTCCTTTACAGAAAACAAACTTAAAAAACATGTAATATCAGTTCATTACTTAGGCAATCTCTGGAAAAACGAAAGTTATATAGAAGTGTTGATGTCATTTACATGTGTAGTTTCCTTTGAATATGTCTATCTTCCTGACACCATGAGTCACTTCCTAGCAGAAACTCTGGTCTCTTGATTAAACGCTCTGAAGTGCATTTCAGACACTGTTGTAGAATCATTAGACCTTAATAGTATTCTAGGAACTGCTTCGGTTTATAATTCAAACTACCGAGGCGTATGGGAACCCTTTCTGAAATAAATATTTCATCTCAAATAATAGAGAATGTACACAAAGTAAGCCACTTTTCAAAAAATCCTGGCATAAAGTGTTTATGATATATAAGCTTGCCAGTGTTATATTCTGAACATAACCTGTCTCAGTCATAAGTCTATGAAGCAGAAGTCTAATGATATGAAAAACTATATTTTTCTATTGTTGTTTGTTGTGTGTTCCTCACTTTAGAATCCCCATATTGAGGGACGGTTGAATCCAAAATTTTTTATAACAAAGGTAAAATCTCTGAAAAAAATCAAGATTTTGTGTAAGAAACAGACTCCTACCAAGACAAGGCAGAACCAATGCCTGGAACAGCAACACAATAGTTTGTTTTGTTTGTTTGTGCACGGAAAGCCAGAGAACCCATATAAAACAACAACAGAATTGCTGCAGGTTACGGCACATAAAAGAATATCAATGGTTTGGGGACAGTTACCATATTTAGCTATAAAACCAGGTTTTAAACTTGAGGTTACGAACAGATTATAAAATGTTAACAGCTGGATAAACGGTAAAAGATGCATTATCTACACATGAAAAAGTGACAGTTGATAAATGCTGCAATGTTGGGTCTGTTGGCATGTAACGAAATCTTTCCCCAGTCCTGATTTCTGCATGGGATGGGAAAACAACAAAAAGGAAAAAACCTGCTCTGCTGAGCATTTTTCTCCCCAAACAAATGATCAAACCAAAACTCTCCTTTCTTTGACCCAGTGGTAGATATTTACCTATTTGCATATCTAGCAACTGAAACTAGGAAAATTTTCTGCCAGTGATGCCCTCTGCTCATCAGGTAATACCTGTTCTGGTTGTTTGGGGGTGTTTTTTTTCCCCAGCTTTCTAGGTGTTTTCCATACAGCAAAGGGTCTTCCCTGCCCACCCTCCACCCCACCCCCTGGAAGGGGAAGGGGAAGGGGAAGGGAAGGATCATGGAAGAGGAGGACTCTTCTGGTTCTTGCAGTGGCTCCTCCAGACCTCTGGACCCTGGCATGGCCAAACATCATGGCCTGACACTTACTTCGGTTTGGCTGAGTCCTCTTTCTGAAAAGGCAAGTAAAGATGACTTCCAAGTATTCAGTGCATTAAAGAAAAAAGACAGAAGACATATTTTTAAAAAGAAAAAAAAGTGCTTGAAAATAATTCCCAGGGACTTATCTTGGGGAGGAGACTCCCATGTGCAGTGTGGATCCCCTCTCTAGTGTCTCCTGCCCCAGCGGGGACAAAGACCCTCGGTCCAGGCTCTGTAGCAGAGAAGGTCCTCAAAGCCTTTTTTTAGGAAAAGCAGAACTTATTTCAGTGGTTACCAGGGAAAGTTGTATTCCTTGACATGTGGTCCATCCATCTTGGCCTCAAAGACCTCACAACTTTTTGGCACTGTCGTGGCAGGCCGCTGCCCGGATGGTGGTCCCAGCCAAGCCTCGGTTGCTGACCCTGCGGACGAGCACTTTGGACACCGGGATTTTTGTTCTGGGCACCTCGCTCCTGGCTGGTTGCTGGTGCACCACGGGATGGCTGGACGGAAGGTTGGCGAGGTGCTTGACGCTGATGGGGATTTTAGAGTCCTTCAGCAGACTGCCTGGTGTTCGCAGTGGGCAGGTGATGGTGCCCGGAGACACGGGCTTTAACCTAGACACACAGGGCGCCTCCTCGTTGGCAGGAAGGGCAGCCGGGCTTCCATCCGGATCCGCGTAGAGATCGTAGAGCGCATCGCCGCTGTAGCTATCCCTGGAGATGCCCGCCTTCTTCCCGCTGCCCGTGCTGTCTTCCTCGGGGCCTGGGGTGGTGGAATCCCAGTAGCCCTCATCACTGTTGGGGACGCCTTCTTGCTGCTCCTTCAGCAGGTGCTTGGGCTCCTCCTTGGGCTGCGACTCAATGGGAATGCGGTTGAGCCTCCTACGCTTGACCGAGGACACGTCCTTGGCCACTTCGACCCCCCGGGTGTCTTTAGAGGTCTCGGGAGCCCCCTTGGCGTCCAGTGCTGCGGCGGCCTTAGCCAGTCCCTCGGGGGGGCCTTGTCCTTGGCCCTCAGTCTGGGAGAGCATGTCCCAGAATTCCTGCAGATAGGTGTCATCCACCCCATCCGGGCTCGCCATCTCCTCCCCGCCTCCTTGGTAGGCCACCACGCTGGGGTTCTTTTTAGACACACCTGGCTTGCCTGTCCCCGGGGCATGCTTGTCACAGCTGGGCCCTGCCTCGTCCTCTTGGTCTGCAATAATATCTCCACAGCCTGTAAGAGAGTCAAAGCTTTTCAGTGAAGTCACGTCAGAAAACATCAAACAAATACGATCGGTCGATGGGTCTGAGGGCGGATCAACAGAGGAAGGGTCAGGGACGGCAGACGCCCGGCCGCTGCCACAGTCGGAGTCGACAAGGGGGACGGTCTTTATCGGAACGTCACCTGTCCTGGAGGTATCCTCGGCCGGCCGCACCTGCCCAGCGCCCAGCTCGGGGGGTGCCCGGGGATCCTCGGCGCGCCGGGGCCCCGCGGCGTCCTCTCCCGGGGCGCCGCTGGCGGTCGGGGCGCCGGGGCCCTCGGCCTCTTGGCCGCGGGGCACTTCGGGGCGCTCGGCGGAGGCCGGCGCCGGCTCTCCCACTCCGGGCTCACCTGCTGGGTCTGGCGGCGCGTCCCTGCTCGGGTTCTCCGGCGCGAACGCGGGTCGCGGCGCTTCCTCCGTGACGCACTCCAGGCTGGCCGTGAGCGACCCCGGCAGGGCGAGGCCGGCCGGGCCCCCCGAGCGCGCCCCGCGCTCCCCCTCCTTGCCGCGCTTGTCCTTCCTGTGCCAGCGCACGCTGCTGAAGAGCCCTCGCAGCCCCCTCTTTTGTTTGCCGCCAGCCTTGCCGGCATCTCCCGCGTCCCCTCTGCCAGGTTCCGACCTCCCGTTCTTTTTCAAAAGGGAGAAGAAGCTGTGCGACTTAGCCACAGAGCTGCTGGCCAGCGAGCCCACGCCCGGCCCGGCGGCTCTGGGGGGGCCGGGGTTCGGCCGACCCCCGCCGCGGTCACCCCCGCCACCGCCGCCGTCGCCCCCGCCGCGCGGCTCCTCCTTTCTGCCGCCCTCCAGCACCACCACCTCGGCTAGTCCGTCGTGGGTCCTGCTCCTCACCATGCCCGGCGGACCCGCGCCTTTCCCATCCCCTTTGTTTTTGACCCCAAATATGCTGGGCATGGTGCCACCCGATTTCCTCTTCTTGAATAATTTGAAAGCAGCTTTGTTAATCTTCCCCGACGGCTGCTCGGAGGCCGGAGTTCCGGCAGCACAATCACAAGGCAAGTCCATGTCTGCCGCGAGGGTCCCGGCACCGGCCTCCTCCTTCCTCCTGCAGACCCCCGCGGCCGCGCCGCCGCCGCGCGCGCTGACAGCCCCGCCGCCGCGGCCGCGCTCGCTCGTCTCCATGGAAACCGAGCGGGAGAAGCAGCTTTCGTCAGCTGTGGGCTTGCGCCAGGCCACTGTCATCCGGATTCTAAATCAACCTGAGCCACTCTGTGCTGCTGCTGCCGCCGCCGCTGCCGCTGCTGCTGGAACACACAGGAAAAAGAAAAAAAAGTTCCCCGCCCGCCCAGGGCTTATATAACACCCTAACCCACTAAGGATCCATCCGACTTGGCTTTGCGCTGTATAGTGTGCGGGGCGGGAGGGGGGATGGGGGAGGGAGCGGGGTGTGTGCAAGAGCAGGCAACAGAGCCTTGAGCTGCTGCAGAAATTAGAGTCGTAATTATGGAATTCAAATCCCATCCAGTCTTACCCACCTTCAGATTCTGCGTCCAGATTTACTCTTTCACCAAATGCCCCCTAAATAGACAAAAAATAAATTTTAAAAATCCAACCAACACAAAATCCTTAGTCTTCTTATCACCTATCCTGGACTTTATGGATCTTTGTGCCTTTCCCAAGCCCTTCATGTGTGTCCTTAACATTCAGGTACCGAGCCCAGCAGACATGGAGCTTTACGTCTTTGTCTTGTCCCATGCAGAGCACAATCTCCAGGTCGATGTTGAAATCTTATTGTTGTTGCTGTCCTGATTCTTGCTGCAAAAACAACAGCCATCAAATACCCATTAGCAGCTCTCTGCAAGGAAAGTGCAACAGTTCTGAGGATGGAAGTTGACTGGTCCTTTGGGACAAGCCTGGCTTTTATCCCAGACTCCTGCTACTGGGGCTGAGGTCACAGAATCCCCTGCCCAGTCTGCATGTGGTTGCAATGGAGTGAGCTGAAGATGGAGTCTCAGGTCCACTCCAGGGGTGGTGCTTGGAATCCAGAATCTACCCTCTTTTCCATCCAGCAGGTCACGGGTGTTGCTTTGACCTTGCTCCTGCCACCTCCTTCAATACCCCGTGTCCGTTCTGCAGCTGCCTTCCCCGCTGCGCAGGGTCCCTAAGTGCCCATGAGTCTCTGCAGCTACTGGATCTGGGAAAAGGAAAACTATCCCAGGGAACCGCCCAATCTGGGAATCTCTTCTGTGCTCTGGCTTAGAGAGTGACTGCTAAATTGTAAACCTGACACCTGACTTCATGATCCGAGCTGAGGGCTTATTAGCAAACATACATATATATGAAGAAGCATGTACATATATATAATTTCTATATGTTGGATATATTTTTAAAGTGCAATAATATTATGTATTACTATTTATTAAATATTATTTAATAACTAGAGGCCCAGTGCACGAAATTCATGCATGGATAGGGTCCTTAGGCCTGGCTGGCGATCAGGGCTGATCTGTGGGGTGACTGGTGGGGCGATTGGGGTCTCCCCCACCCCCGCTGACATCCACCTAGGCTGGCCTGGGGCCTACAGGATAGGGGCAGTTCCTGCATTGAGCATCTGCCCCCTGGTGGTCAGTGTGCGTCATAGCCACCAGTCATTGCACCGGTAGTTCCACCATTCAGACGATTTGCATACTGGGCTTTTATTATATAGGATATGTAATGTTACATATATACAGATATCAATATTTTTCTGAATCATCTTGAGCTTCATGTTTGTGTGCTACTTGCGTGACACCCAGAAACCCTAGTTGCTATATCAGTTGAGGCTGGAGTTTAGCTAATAATCTGTCAGTCATTGCATGGAACAGTTGGTTTGAATTTTGGCCTTGGGGTTATTACCTATATACTTGCCCTTTCCTACTGATGTTTCTCAAGAACACTGTTTCATAAAACTAAGAAATCAGTGAGTTTAGGTTCAGGAGAGGTTTTTATTCCCAGCTTTGTAATCCAATCAGCTCTCTCCCACTCTTAACCGGCACCTCCCAGACAGGGTGTGAGGCTAAGACCAGAGAGAGGCTCTCCCCAATTCTAGTTGACCACTTACCATGAGGAATCAGGTGCCTCACTGCCTTGGGGAGAGAACAGGTGTTAGGAACTATAAAGAGAAATTCATTTGTTATCTCTCCACAACCTTTAGAGGACAGTTGAAAATTTTTTTCAATTCTTTTATACACACCATACAATTGCTTAGCTATGTGGGTTACTACATAACTGTGTCATCTGGAAGAGTTTATGACTGGGATCCAGGAAGATTCAGGAGTGTATAAATATCTCCCCTTCTCCAGCCCAGAGCAGAGAGCTGGGAGGTGAACCTGCTCATCCACTGGGAGCTCTGACCTAGCAGGACAGGCTATTTGCATGAGAATCCTTGAGCCCCCTGGGGAGAAAGCTGGCTAGGACTTTGGGATGAATATCATTCCCCTGGGACATAGACATCCAAACAAAGAGAACTGGACAAAGCAGTCTTCATTCTGGGGAAGGTGCCGGTGGCAATGGTAAGTCACTGGCCCTGAGGTAGAAGAATGTGAAGATTCCTGGAACCATCAAGACTTGGAGCCACAGGGCAGGGGGAGCTTTAGAAGCTGTCATGTGAGTGGGGACCCTCCCTTGTCCTCCAACCCAAGGTCCTTTTTATAGAGACCATCATAGAAAGGCCAGTTTACAAGGACCTTGGCAGACAGTACCTCTCAGCCCCACCCTGGGGATAGGGGAAGGGAGGAGGGCCCCAGTCAAACTTGGGGTGGCAGATTGATTTAAAAGGCTATTGTTAGAAACCAGTGCAGCCGAAACCGGTTTGGCTCAGTGGATAGAGCATCAGCCTGCGGACTGAGAGGTCCCGGGTTCGATTCCGATCAAGGGCATGTACCTGGGTTGTGGGCACATCCCCAGTGGGGGATGTGCAAGAGGCAGCTGATCGATGTTTCTCTCTCATCGATGTTTCTAACTCTCTCTATCTCTCTCCCTTCCTCTCTGTGAAAAATCAATAAAATATATATAAAAAAAAGAGAAAAGAAAAGAAACCAGTGCAAAGGTTTACCTGCACCTTAAGTTGCTCTTCACTGTCAAGCGTGGGGAAGCCGATTGCATTTGCACAAAATGGTGATTTCTTTTTCCCTGAAACACAGATCATGACAGTGAAGAAAATTTTACCAGAAATGCCTCCTGTTTTGGGTTACAGTTTCATCTTTCCTTCTTCTCCCCTCCCCTGCCACTGCCCCACCCTGCCCCAATTTAAACAGTGAACAGAAAATTTGAGAAGAAATGGCTAGAGAAAGGGGCTGAGAGGAACTGTTTCAGGAAAAAGCTGTTCTGAAATGACAGGATGCGTCACAGATGCAAACAGCAAGTGGGCCCTGCTGGAGACATGTGCCTGCTTTTCTCTTTTGGCACGAGGGAGGGTTTGTTGTTCCGTCGGGCCTTTCTCTCTGGGTAGCTAGTGTCTCTGGAGGAGGATAATCAAAGCAAGGGAAAAAAAAGAGAAACAGGAGGACTCATAGAGAGCTTATCATCACCGATTCCTTTTCCAGGGTGTCTTCAGCCAGTGTGGCCCCTGCCTTTGTCCTAAGCTCACTGAGTGGAATGTTCTAGCTGAGGGAAACCACTCAGAACATAATGTGGAAAAGGCTTGGTGAGCAGCTGCCCTTGGAGCCATGGTGTGGCTGCTGCTGTGGAATTCCCTGTGTCACAGCTTCGCCATAAAGGAGGCTGCTGGCTTTCCTGGAATTTGCCTGAGGTCTTTAAGGGGATAATGCTCAATCAGCGAAGTTTGGAAAGGATGCTTGAATTGGGATCAACACTTCCTGTCTCCAGCTCTCTTCACCTGCTCTGGACCCCAGCCCAATCAATAAGGCCAGCTCCCTGTTCCTGCCCATCTCCACCCTCCTGGCCATGATTATCACCCAAGGCGAGCTGTAGACACTGTGATGCCAGTGAGGACCCTCAAATGTCCTCTAACCCAAGGTCCCTGTTATGAGGATGATCAGAGAGAGCCCCCGCTTTGCTAACCTTGACCCTCACTCCCAAGTCCACTCTGTCCACATATCTGAGGCCTGTCTTGCCTTTGAGGGATGATGTGAGCTGTACAAGCTGAGACCATAAGGTAAAGTGGACAGATGTGCAGGGAGCCTAGCCGGGGGGGGGGGGGGGGGGGGGTGTCAATGCTATGGCACTTTCCTATACCCTCCTTCCTGGGAAGGCTCTAGCCCAGGGTGGGCAGGGTGAGGACCAGAGAGGTCTAAGCGCAATCAGCCCTGAGCTAAATTGAAGTTTCTGTTTTCTTTTGCAGATTTTGATTCCTGATTTTTCCTGACCCTCAGCTTCTCTGTGGGCTAAGAAATTAATTTCTAATTAGTAACATGCAAGTGTAAAAAGCTCAACAGGACTTGTAAGTTTACATGTTAACCCTGGGGCACAGCTGAGGCTGCTGAGGGGAGAGCTCATCTCTGAGAGACAGTTCCATGCTGGCTCTGGGGTAACCGGGAAGCTCAGGACATGAGCTGTTCTGGTCCAGCAGGTGTCACCACTCATAAGATGTCACCTTGGCCTGGCCCCCATGAGTGTGAACCTGAATCCTAGGGAAAAGGGGGGGGGGGTGCAATAAAGGACCAAATAAAAGCAGGGTGAGCATTTCTCTGTAATGCTGGAGGATGAGGGGGTGGGGTAGGGGGTGCGCAGGCCATGCAGCAGCTGGCAGCGCTGGCACCGGGCAGTCTCCATGCCTCCCTGACAGCTTCTGGTTCCTGCCAGCAATGCTCAGTTTCTGCATGCATCATTCCAATTCTGCCGCTGTCTTCACCTGGTGCTCTCCCCCACGTGTCTGTCTTATAAGGACAACAGTCATATGGGATTGAGGGCCCACTCCATTCCAGTATCACCTTGTCTCAATTTACATCTTAGACACATCCACAAAGACCCTATCTTCAAATAAGGTCGCATTCACAGGTACCAGGGGTTAAGATGTGATATCTTTTGGGGGACACAATTAAACCCCCAACAAGCATCATTGCCAGCAATGGAGATAGCACTTCACCTTCATCCCTTCAATGTAGTCACTAGTGCCCCTGGCACAGACATTAATGTTGGTGGGTTCAAACTTGCTCCAGCAAGTGTGGGCCCTCAGCAGGTTTCAAGGTCATGGATGCACTTCCAGGT